TAGCTCATTATATAGATGAAAATTGGGAGTTACAAAGTAAAATACTGAACTTTTGCCATATTCCTCCTCCACACTCAGGGGTTGTTTTGGCAGATAATATTATGAATTTCTTGCAAGAGTGTGAAATTGAAAAGAAAGTTTTCTCAATTACTTTGGATAATGCAAGTAGTAATGATAGGATGGAGGATATCTTGAGGAACCAACTTTGTGTGCAGAATGTTTTGTTATGTAGGAGTGAATTTTTCCATGTATGATGTTTTGCACATATCTTGAATCTTATTGTTCAAGAAGGGTTAAAAGCTACTAGTGTCGCTTTAAATAAGATTCGAGATAGTGTGAAATATATTAAAGCAACTGAGGCTAGAAGAATCAAGTTTGGAGACCTTGCTGTGCAAATGGGAGAGAAAAGCTCAAAGGGGTTGAGATTGGATGTTTCCACTAGATAGAATTCAAATTTTTAATGCTTGAAACGACGTTAATATATCGTCCTGTGTTTGTGACTTTATCAACAATAGATCTAAATTATAAATTTTGTCTATCAGATGACAAATGGGATAGGGCGGGTGAGGATATGCAAGTTCTTGGAACCATTTTATGATATTACGACTTTATTCTCTGGTTTCAAATATCCTACAGCAAACTTGTACCTGAAATGTGTGTGGGAAATTCAATTGCGTTTAATTGAAGAGAGGATGAGTGAGGATGAAGCTGTTAAGAGCATGGCGGAACAAATGATGCCAAAATTTGAAAAATATTAGGATTCTTATAGTCTTGTGTTGACGATTGCAACTATTCTTGACCCACGTCTCAAGTTTCAGTTTGTGGAGTATGCTTTCAAGAAAGTTTATGATTTAACTACTGCCATACGAAAGTTGGAGGTTGTTAAGAATAACTTGCAAAAGCTTTGTCAAGCTTACGAGACTCAATGTTCCAAAGAAGTTTTTGCCTTACCTTCAGTTGTTTCTCTTGTGAGTGGTCCTACTCTTGGTAGGCGTGTAGATAATTCTTTTGTAAGTCACTATACTTTTTAGTTTTTATATTCTTATGATAAATAAAGTATTATTTATTGTTTAATTTTAACTTTTGACACTTAACTATTTAAATGGTGCAGGATTTTGACAACTACGAGAATGGTTTTATTTCCACTAAGAAATCTGAATTAGATCTTTATTTGGAAGAAATGAAGTTTGATCGCCTCAAATATCAGAATTTGGATATCCTCGATCATTGGAAGAACAATTGTGATCGTTATCCGGTACTTGCCATGATGGCTCGTGATATCATGGCAATACTGATAACATATATTGCTTCGAAATCCACTTTTTAGTATTGGCAGTAAAGTGCTCAACAAATATCGAAGCTCACTTCGACCTAAAAATGCAGAATCTTTGATATGCACTTGGACTTGGCTATATGGATATGAGTTTACAGGTAACATGTTAACATTATATTTCATATATTTTATTATTTACATTTATTAATATTTGTAGTTGATCATTGTTTTATAGATGATGATGTGAATAATGATTCGGATGATGATCTTGATATGCCATTAACTAATTCCGGGACTGTGGAATCAAGAGACTCTATCGCCCCCACTATGGGATGAACATTTGCTACCCAAGGATGTTTTTTGTTAAACATTTGATTATGTATTTGTTTATTTTAATTGGTATTTGTAGTTTTGTATTTTATGTTATTGACTTATTGTGTTTGCTTATGTGTATTAGTGATTATATATTTGTTTATTTTGGCTGGTATTTGTAGTTTTGTATTATATGTTATTGACTTGATTGTTGTGTTTGTTTATTTGTATTACTATTAGTGATTATGTATTTGTTTATTTTGGTTGGTATTTATAGTTTTGTATTATATGTTATTGACTTATTGTGTTTGTTTATGTGTTATTTGTTTATTTTGGTTCCTATTTGTTTATATTCTAAATTGAATTGAATTTAGAGTAGTTGATTTTGGGGGTGTAAATGTAAAAAATTAAAACTGCAGGAATTTTGGAGGTGTAACTGTCATAATTGAAAACTATTGGGGGTGAAACTGCAAAATTTAAAACATGGAGAGAGAAAAAACGGGCACCCTCGGGTCCACCCGTACCTATATAGGATAGGGTACAGGTCCAATATTTTGGACCCGTATATGACTCGTACCTGTGACAACCCGAACTCGGTCCACCCGCCCATTTTGCCAAGTCTAACAATTAGACAAGTTTTAGATTTTCTAAGAGATGAACATTCCAGACGCTTTTCTACAATTCATTACATTTGAAAATTACCAAATGGAGAAAAACATGATAGAAAATGGCCAGTGTATATATATATATATATATATATTCAAAAGAATTAGATAAAGTATTTTGTTTTTGTTGTAAATTATTTAGTTTAAAATAAAATGCAATTCAATTAGCACATGATTGGAAAAATCTTAGTGCCAAACTTAAAAGCCACAAAACAAGCAAAGAACATGATGTAAATATGAACATTTGGGTTGATGTTGAGATGAGATTGCTTAAAAACAAAACAATTGATAAATGTCTACAAGAGAAAATAAATAAAGAGAGAGCATTGGAAGAATGTACTATTAAGAATTATAGCGGTTGTAAAAAATCTTTCAAAAAATAATTTGACATTTCGTGGTACAAATGAGAAGATTTGTCAAGAAAATAATGGAATTTTTTTTAATTTAATTGAAATTATTGCTGAGTTTGATCCAATAATGCAAGAACACCTTAGTAGTATTCAAAATGAAGAACTTCATACTCATTGTCTTGGTCATAATATACAAAATGAGTTGATAAATATTTTAGCATTAGAAATAAGAAATACCATTATTAAAAAAAATAAAAGAATCAAAATATTTTTCAGTTATACTTGATTGTACCCTAGATACAAGTCATCAAGAACAAATGTCACTTATATTAAGATGTGTAGATATTTCAATAAGTCCAATAAAAATAGAAGAGTACTTTATAGATTTTATAAAAGTGGATGATACTTCTGGTCAAGGTCTTTTTAATGCACTCACAAGTAAACTAAAAAATCTTGAACTTGATGTAAATAATGTGAGAGGACAAGAATATGATAATGGGTCTAATATGAAAGGTCAACAACAAGGTGTGCAAAAAAGATTAGTAGATATAAATTATAGAGCATTTCATACACCATGTGGTTGTCACAATCTTAATTTAGTTCTTTGTGATATGACTAATTCATGTGCTAATGCTATTATATTTTTGGAGTGACAAAACGCATATACTCATTATTTTCTTCTTCTACAAAACGATGGAAAATTTTGCAAGATCATGTTTCTAATTTCACACTTAAGCCATTATCACAAACACGTTGGGAAAGTCGTGTTGAAAGTGTTAAAGAAATAAAATTTCAAGCTCCACAAATAAGAGATGTTTTATATCAATTAGCAGAAACTAGTGAAGATCCTAAAATAAAAAATGAAGCTATTTCTTTAGTAACATATGAGATTGAAAATTTTGAATTTCTATTAGGCATGATTATTTGGTATGAAATATTATTTGTTGTTAATACGGTTAGCAAAATATCTACAATCTAAAAATATGGACATTGTTGTTGCAACAGATGAGTTGAAAGGTCTTGTTTCATTTTTTGAAAAATATAGAGAGACTAGGTTTACATCTTTTATGATTTTTGCTAAACAGATTGTAGAGCAAATGAATATGGAACCAAAATTTCATGAAAAACGTACAATAAAGAGAAAAAAACAATTTGATAAGAATGAAAACGAAGAGATGAAATTGTCCACTGAAGAATCTTTTAGAATAAATTATTTCACATATTTAGTTGATCATACCATTTCCTCACTTCAAACTAGGTTTGAACAATTTGAAATATATAGTGATAATTTTGGTTTCTTTTATAATATAGAAAAGTTCAAATTGCTTGATGATGATAATTTGAAGAAAAATTGTTTAAATCTTAAATTTTTTTTAAAATATGACATGCTCCCTTATATTGATAGTTTAGATTTATATTCAGAATTAAAAATTTTAAAAGAAAATATAAACGTGAAAATTAAAACACCACTTAAGATATTAGATTTTAAAAAAAATATGAATTCTTTTCCAAATGCATGGATGGATTATAAAATACTATTAACTATTCATGTTACTGTAGGTTCAACAAAAAGAAGTTTTTCAAAATTAAAGTTAATAAAATCTTATTTGCGTTGAAAAATAAATTTGAAACAATTTTTTAATATATGCTTATATTATCAATAGTATTACACTCATAAATCTTTCTCGCTAATTTTCTCTCACAAACGCGACGTGTCAGCTGGTAATTGGTCAACTTATAATGGGTCTCGCCTGACCAAATACGAACTAACCAATTACGAGCTGTCATGTCACTGTTTGTAAAATAAAATTATGACAAATGTTTATCAATCTACCTTTATTCTTATATTATTTGTACGCCTCTAAAGTAACTCTTGTTTAGGGTCACAAATGTTCTTGAGACGGCTTTGTTCAGTGTATATATATATATATTTGGTTCAGAATTTTCTGAGATATGAAACTGGTTCAAGCTCGGATGTGAAAAGGTAAGCGACATTGATGAAGTTGTTTCATTTTGCATTGCGTTTCATTTTGCATGGAAACCTCAAGACCGTTTGCTTTGGCCTTCTGCATATGATATTCTTTGCAATAACGTTGCATGTTCCTTTGAAGGCCTCTTAAGTCATCCATTTTAAAGGGCTTTTTCACCAAATCAATAGTTTATACAAAAATCCTAAACAAATCGATTTCAATATAACGAAGTACAGCAGAAATCATGTTTTGGTATCAACAAAATGCCATTACTTCCCACTAAAGGCAAAAAAAATATAATTTGGGAAGCAATGAATATATGCTTTTCTCTTGTGAACAAACACCAGGGCTTTCTGTTAACTAAACCTGTTAAAATGCCTTTGATCATCATGTTTCTGTTCCATTTCTCAACTTATTATTACTAGCTAAGAACATTACAATTTGGGGAAAAAAAAAAGAAAAAAAAAAAGATAGCAATGGAGCTTGAATTGGGACTCAAGATCACCCATAACAGGGATGATTTGACTTCCAAAATGGCTGATTTCAGGATCACAAAAGAATCCTCTGGCCCTCTTTTCATGTCTACAGAAACTGACTCCAAGTTCATCCTCATTGGCCATCTCAAAGGTCTCTTGTCAATTTCCATTCCATTTTTGCATTGCAACATTTTCCATTTTTATTCTTATTTTAGTGTTAATTAAACAAAATGCAGGTTTCAGAAGGGAGAACATTGACATTGAGATAAATGAAGCCGGGAATCGAATTGCAATTGGTGGGAAGAAGCCTGTTCAGGAGATGGTGTTGCTGGGTTGGATTATGGTCAGGAAAGAGGTGGAGGTAAAGGCTTTCAGGAAAGTTTTTCGGATTCCGGAAAGGGTGAAATTAGATAAAATTAAGGCCAAGCTTAATGATGAAACATCAACCTTGACAATTGTTATGCCGAAATTGGACAAGGGAATTTGTGGGGTTGGGATTGAGGAAGTGAAGGAAGAGGAGGAAGAGGAGGAAGATAGAGGGAGAACTGAAGCTGAGGAAGTTCCCGGAATTGAGAAAGCAAAAGAGGAAATTCAGAAAGAGTCTGAAAAGCCAATAGAAAAGGAAGAAACTGACCAGGTTGTGGAAAGAGAGGTTCCTGAAACTATAGAGCAAAAGAATGAAAGCTTGGAGGATTCTGGTCAGGTTTTGGAAAAAGCAAGTGATCAGGGACAACCTGCAGCAACAAAAGCTGAAGAGTTTCCGGGAGGAGACTATGCTGGGGAGGCTGTAAAGGAAACACCTGAAGAACTCACGGAAGAAATTGCTTCGGAAGAGCAAAAGGTTGACGGAGATGAGTCCAGGACATTTTCAAATGAAGCTGAAAAGGTTCCTGAAAGAGTCAAAGAGCCTGAAGTTAAAAGCTTGGAAGAAAATGATCAGGTTGTGGAGCAATCACCTGGAGGCCCAGAAATTGAGCCTCAGGCCAGTACTGAAATGAATCAAGCAACTGGGTCTGTGGAACCTCATGAAGCAGCCGAGAAAGAGAGTGATCGCCCACAGAAAACAGAATCACCACCAACCGAAGAAACTCAGAGAGAAAATCATCCTGAAGAAAGAGCACAGGTGCAAGAATTGGAAGAACAAGTTCCTAGTCCGGAGAACATTGAATCTAAAATCCCTGGAGATGATCAAATGACTGCGCCAACTGAACCTCCAAGTTCACCATCAAATGAGATTGAAGAGGAAGAAACTACAAAAGAAAAGCATCAACTGCAAAATGAAAAGCCCGGAGAATCACCGAGGCAGGAACCTGGAGAAGAAGTTCAAGAATCAACAAAACCTGAATCCCATCAGGAACCTGAGCAGCAAGAAACATCAAATCTGAATAACTTGGCAGATCAAACTAGTGAAGAAACTCAAGGGAAAGAAATTAAAGAAAAAGAAACTAGAGAAGAAATATCTAAAGAAAAAGTTGAGGAACATGAATCTCTGGAATTGGAGAAGCAAAACGATCTGAGTGAGGAAGCATCCCAAATGAAGAAGCATGTTGAAAAAATGTCCAAGATGTGTCCTCCTCTTGTTGTTGCAGGATCAGCCTTACTTGTATCTATTTTAGTGCTTGTTTTCCATTTCATTAGAGCTAAGAAAACATAAACCAAATTACATCCCAAATGGGATTGTATCAATCACGCATATTTTTTATACAAATTGTGACATTATTTATTTATAGTTAAATCAATACAATTATTTGCTTTTTTCTGATATGACAATACCAAAGATCATTTCTCAAATAAGATGCTGCAATTTTTCCTTATCAAAACTAGCATATTGTATAAAATTTTTGTAACATTTTGATTGAAGAACTTAAACACGCTCAATCTTTACGCTAAGTTGTCACTGCAGTTAAGGAGTTAATACCATAAAAAGTTGCAGAGTTTCATTAATCACACTATGACATAAAGGATCAAGTTCTTCAATTTTAGCCTGTGGAGTCTGAAACTTGAATCTTCTTCATAAACAAAAACTTAAAACTGTTCAGAATCATGAAAAGCATCCCATTGTTTTAACTTTTAATAGTCTTTCGGATGAATTTTTTTTAAACCAAATTTATCAAATATAGGTCTTGAATCTGATATTTTTCAATCCTTCTAGCAACGTTTAGATTGCCCCTATTTTTTTTTTTTTTTTTTTTTTCCTGGAATTGGAATCACATTCCGTTTCTATTTCATGTGACGTCTCAAATGCATAAATTTTGTTCAGGCAGCTACAGTTTTGGGCCTAAAGATATTGAGCTCACAATAAATTTATTTAAACGACTTTTTCCCACCCAAGAATTGTCTTAATGACATTTTCCCACCTAAAGTTAATATTCCGTTACCACCCAAAATATACTTCACTTTATCAACCGATGTTCGGCAAATCACCAAGAGTGAGAGTGAGAGTGAGAGAGGTTTTGTAAAGTGAAAACCGATGGATCGAATGGTAGTGATAGATTAAATATTCACCGTCAAAATAAGTAGGAAATCAACTAAAAACATGAAATCTTAACTTTACGATGGTTGACAATCGACGAGAAATCAAATATCGAAGCGAAAGGGGTTTTTTTATAAAGGAGACCACAGGTTCAAATGATGGTGACGAAAAGAATTTTCGCAGCCGGAATTAGCTTTAAGTAGTAACGAAATATTAACTTTGAGTGAAAAAATGGTATTTTGAAACTTTTTGGGTGAAAAGTCGTTAAGACAAACTTTGGGTGGAAAAAGGTGTTTACTCAATTTACTTCGGGCGTCGTAGTAGTATTAATCATCAGCGGCGCATTTTGTGCAGTAAGTCATTGCATGGACAGCTACGCAAGTTAAGCATCGTACATCCTGCAATTCAAAGAAATGTGATTGCTCTGGTATAATTATAAAGGTAGTAGCAATAGCACATTTTTCTTGAGGAGAAGCTTGGTAGCTTTAGCTTTTCTCAAATCACATGTGAAAAAGACAAGAAGTTAAAATCGAATCTCAGTAAAACTTTTAACTGAAAAGCTGAAGTGAGTCAAAATTTGTTGCCTGGGAGCCAAGAACAGTTCATGTGATGTTATGTGGATGCTAGTGGATCAGAACATTTCGTGATAAGAACTGCAAACTTGCAACCGTTAAAGCAGTTAAAGCCGAATAACTTGAAAACAAAGCGACCCTTTGTACATAATTATAAAGGGCCCCATGATCAAGCTTTCAATCCAACAAAGTTAGGCTTGATAAAAAAAAATCTTACAAGAGAGAAGAACACTACTTTAATACTAAGAGAAAGTCTTCGATATATTCATCTTCCATATGCAACCAATCAATCAGACCATCAAAAGTCAGGCACAAATGACATTTTGGGCATGATGTGAAATGATATTATAATTCCTTATATGTTAAGCAAAGAAGAATATCTGCAATTATAGAAAAATAAATCCCCCGCGTTTTCTTTTCTTTTCTTTTCTTTTTAGTGAACTCGTGAAACAAAATTCAATAGAAAAGCAATCAAGTCTTTTTCTTAGCATCACAAACACCCACAGAGAGATACAATGCAAGTCACTTTCATATAATTAAAATCTCAATGACAACAGTCGCTGAACTTGCAAAAATATAGATATTCAATCTTGAGACTCTATTTGAGATGTTCAATTCCAGCCAAGAAAAGAAAACAAGACCCTTTTGATTACTAAAAGCTTTCGAGTTATGACAGCTAACAAGGTGTTGTGGTGAGGGCCACTGCTCTGGCTAGCATCTCCAGCTCCTTGGGTAGATTATATATGGCCAGAATTTGCATCGATCAGGTGGGGATGTTATGTGCCACCAACCGTGCCACTGCTCGATGTCAGGGATGCTGGGACAGCAGAGAGTAAGGGACACTTTTAACCAACAGAAATAAAGACAATAGTTTGAATGAACTTGAGGCAGAGAGTTAACAATTAAGAATTTTGAACGCATACCTGTTGGGTACAGCTGAGATGCCTTGCTGTTTCAAGAAGAGCTTAGAAACAGCGACAAAGGAGTCTTCATAAGCAGAATTTAGAAATTTACCTGTGAACAGTTCATACAAGCCTATGATATCAATATAATTGACACGGCAGAAGTATATATGAAACTAAGCTCTTTCTCAAGGTTGTAGATAAATTATTCTGCCGACAACAAAAGCAATTTCTAGCATTTATACTAAGAGATTGCAAGATATTTGTCGCAATCAATTGAAGGAACTTCGAGAGCAGGGGACACAGGAAGCCAACAATGAAGCAAAAATCATATGCTGAAGCTAGCATCATGAACATTAAACATACAAAGCTCAAATACATCCACATAACCAACACTTGAATCCATATCTGACACCAATATAGTATAGCCTTCTCTGGTGATTTCCATTAAGCGGGCAAAATTGGGTTACTTATTCACTATTCCAATTGAAAATCCAAAATTAAGTTAGAACCAGGACTCTACAACATTCATGTAATTTAGTAATATGGTATTATGGTTATATTCTTTTTTCAGATAAGACACAGGTAATATGATTATATTCATCTTGATGGTTGAGTAAACACCATTCCATGGAGATCAACCACACCATCTTTATCCCTAACCACTAAGAAAAGGACCAAGGAAAAAATACAACAAAGCATCCTTAGAGTAGAGGACTACCAAGCAGAAAATCAAGCACCTAATGAAAATTATTGATGTTTCATCCACAAATTCTGTTGACATAGCATTTTCTTGACTTCCAAATGGGACAGATTCAGAGTAAACGGCAGACACCAGAAAATCAATTGCTTGTGACATCGAACTCCACAATTGAATGCTATAAGTCATCTACGCATAAAACAGATAACAGAATACCCAAGACAAATTTCATTAGGAAGTACGTGGTGATGAATATTCATGACTTCATTGGGATATCACCAGCAGAAACTCCATCTTGTATGATAATTAAGGATGGAAAATAAATCATGGAGTTTAAGGAGAACATTTTAAACATTTCTTTATTTTCATTCCTCAAAAATATTATATTGTAGGAAACAAAGAACAGAGCACCATACATATTGGCCAGTCATCTTCCTGGAGACTGCAAAAGCAAGTAGAGTACTCAAACGCGAGTACAAGGATGAGGATCCCATATTTCATATCAGCAGAAGTAATAAGTTCTATGAGCAAGAAAAGTCACAAAAATAAAAAAGAGAGATTATAAACATAGTCTCTCATGCAAATTATGACAGCAGATTTAACAACCCTACCCGAGACACAAATCGTCAGCGTACAAGAAGAAGAATGAACTCCAACATCCTCAACTCTTCAAAACCAAGTTCACCACATTAGGTAGCTTGGCCACATATTATTTGAAGTCATTGCAACTCTATATACACCTTAGAAAAAATCAAAACATTGAACACTCGATTGATACTCTATGCAGCTTGTACTTGCATTGAAAACAAAATGAAATAACAAAAATTTACAGTAACACTTTGCTCTTTCCAATACACAGCATGTACAGAAGCCAAAATTGGGGAAAAAAACTGCCAAAACAAAATCAACTACAGCACCAAGATGCAATTTACTCAGAAATTTGATTATACAACAGAAACACAAAAGAAGGACATCATCATCGCGAAATGTGATTATCCCATTTCATATCCTACTTTCTTTACACAATATATGCTGATAAATACAATGAAAATTTTCCTCCTTACCCCGTTTATTTCCAGTGCCATCCTCCAACACTCTTACCTTTATCTTCCAGGCATTCCCAAAAAGCAAAAATACAACGAAACCCATTTGCACTTTTCACACCTGACACCTATAATCAAATTTTCAAATACAAACTAATCAGGACCATGCATCCTTCCAAAGCAATCAAGTCCTTCGGTTCGGCTGCGCACGATCTTATGAAACACCTCTCTCACATGTCTCTCCAACGGGTCCAATCCCTCTTTTATTGTTTCGCAAACAATTGATAATTCCTTCACTTTTTGTCTCACCTCGCCCTCCTTCTCCTCGGCCACTGGATACTGAATCGAATCCAACAACTCGTTCATCAACCTCGTGCTTTTCTCAATCTGATGAATCTCCCTCATCAACCCGCAAGCATTTCTCCTCTCTCGTTTCTTCGACTCCTCCAAAATCTTCTCGTGCAATACCATCATCGGCCCCGCCCAAATAAATTGCCTAGACACCGGAAAATGCACTTGCAAACCACGATCCTGACACGGAATAGCCGCCACAAGCGCCCACATTACAAACAACAATAACGAACTCATGGTGAACACCAACGCGGCAAGCCCATTTGTAGCCATAATTTCATTACCCTTTGGAGCATACAAATTATTCCCAATCGCCTGCAACTGCCGAGCAGCCGACCAAGACCTCGAAACACTCCATGACAATGATCGAAAATGCCCCAAGGATCGATTGTGATGATCCTTCAAGTTATTCCTCCCAAAAGACCGGTTCCGATGAGCCAAAGCCGTGCCGGAATCTTTCTCATCAAGCATACTAATCGCCAAATCAATCACAGCCTTCTTAGCTCGCCGAACCTGTCCTTCACATAACATTCTCCGATCATCCAAAGCAATAAGAACGATTTCAATAAGCTTCTGCCACTGTCTGATCTGCTCAATCCCATCACGAATCGCATTGCAAACGTCAAGCGCCTTCACGCTCCGTTCAGAATACTCAGCAATAAGCCGATCCATCGGTGCCTTATGAAGCTGCGACCTATTATTAAACAAAACAACACGAAACTCATCCTGCGAAACGAGGAACAAGTCGAGAAGCTTCTGAACCCACGCAAGCGAGAGCAACTCGTCCGAACCGGACGACAAGTCCATGAACCGGTCCGAAATCTTCCGCTGGAAGGACTCCAGGTCGACCTCGGGAGAGGAACCGGAGACGGTGTCGCTGTCCATGGAATGAACGGCCTGATCGCGG